AAGAGACAACGAAGATCTCCCCATCTATTGTCGAGTACCGGAACCTCGAATCTATGCGCATCAAGAGAGAGCCTACTGTCAGGACGTCTCCATGAATGCATCGGGTTTGATGGATAGGTATGTGGTCAAATGTGTGCTGAACATGATCTCCCTGATGTACAAGAGCTACTATTGCACCAGCCTTACCGACTTCAAAGCAAATTGGAAAAGGAAGCGTCTGGATGTGATAAGCAAGTTCGGTACAGAGGATTTCACTGAAATCGATGACGATGGGAGACCATTGGATCCAACAGATGACATGATGAGAATCTTTGCCAACGAAAACAAGATTACGATTGAGGAGGCCTGGCACCGATTCAGAGGAGAGCAATTCATTTGCAAGGTGGCACTCGTGATCCTATCATTTGGTCATACTCCGTACTCCTTCAAGAAGGAATATGGCAACTTCGAATACTCCACCAACTTGACTGACGTCCAGCTTGAGGAGTTGAAAGCGAAGAAAGCCAGCGCAATGACTGAATTGGTACAGAAGTGCATCCATGCGATTTATGGTTGTCGGACATATTCTTACTTTAGAACCGACGTTACATCACCCAACCACAAGGTGATCGATCCTCTGGACATCATGTACTCGAGAATGAAGAGCAAATGGGAGAAGTCTATTCTGCTGATCATTGATCAACATGAGATCAGGTTGCCCCCACACGCTCAGAATGTCGTAGAGTCAATGGCCAGAAATCCCAACATTGGACATACAGAGAGATGGATGAGCGTGGTAGAACAGAAGCATGTTCAAGCTCTTACCGATCGTCTAGGCTTTGGAGATAGGGCCAAGGAGATTCAGGGCAAGAAGAAGCAGGCAGCCAAGGCAACAGCTAAGTCAACATCAACGACTAAGTCTGAAGCGAAAGCAGCATCTTCGTCAAGAGCTGAGGCAAAGCCAGCATCTACACCCAGAACCGAGGGCAAGCCGTCGTCAGCACCAAGTGAGGAGCCAAAACCTTCAACAGCACCTAAGAGTTTCGGGCCCTCATCAGCAGAGGAGAGCAAGGCGAAGGCTGCTCCAAAAGCCAGACCACATGATAAATCACCATCCAGTGCTACCGATGTGTTTGAGCAAGCTTTGCAGGAAGATCTTGCCGCCAACGCACATGCAGCAGAAGGTACAACTTCTTCATCATCCCGAGGACATTCCAAAGGAGGAGGCCAATCTGGAACATCTTGGAGGCCGGCGCTAACGCAAGAACGTCGCGAAGTACCTCAACCTTCTGAAAAGGGGAAGGGAAAGAGCAAGTCCAAGGGAAAGTCCAAGAAGGGAGAAGATGATCGGCGGGATGCTCAGGGCAGCTGGGATCATCGTGGATGGAGAGGTTATCGCCAGTGGTGATTTCTTTGAACGACTATGAGGATACCATGCAAACCAGGGAGGAAGTCATTCACCGGATGTCTATCTGACCTGAAACGCTGTAAGTGTATCATTGCAAATCATCAATCCGATTTGATACCATGAGCATAATGGAAGGCAGACAGTCACCGACTGTCTCTCCGACTTGCCGTTCTGTAAGTGTATCCAAACCAAAACCTACATCTTTTGAGAAGTGTGAAGTCAGTTGCCGATGTGACATCTACGTGGAAGTCACCAGTTCGGATCTACATCAAAGCGATGCTCTTTTGAGTGGATACTGAGCGAGGCCTCGTGACTGTCTCACTTGTTCAATTCGATTTTCATAGGTTCTGAGCCATAGTTGCACACTTTATATGTAAAAGTCCGCTTTAGTCCAGCATGTTTCGTAGTATGAGCCTCATATGAGTCTCGCGGCAAATCATACAATTTCTTTTGTCGCACTTACATCCCTAAATTTTCGTGTGTGATCGGAACATATTGTTGCCGTTCACATGGGGGGTGCGAATGGAAGTGCAGCGACACGTACAGTGCAACTTGTACATATATATGTACCATATGTACTTTGGCTCAAGGATCAAGCGTCTAGAAAAGGTGCGGTTTCCGTTCCGACGCTACGCCGCTTATGGATCGTCAGTGATAGCTTCAAACTTCGCTGATTAAGATCCACTCGCATACTCAATATGCCTCCATCATGTTCTCGCGTGGTCCGTGCATCGTTGAGCCACGTCGAGCCTGTCAGACACAACACTCCAAAGTATGACAACTATAGACACACGCACCTTCTTTTTCTGAGTTGTATATACGGCCAAGTTGCTCGTTGGGTTGCTCAAATAATGACCTTATAATCCCTTAGTAGTCATCAGTATATATTCCCACATGGACTGGGTTTCTACATGTCTCGCAAGCAGTCAATAGTCATATCCTCAACGAATCAGAATCTCACCTGTTGGACCAGTGTCCAGGACTCCTCCGGTGAAACTTGCTAGCTTGCGCTCCGGCCAAGGCTTTTTGAGGCGATCGTGCAGATGTCCAAGGGTGTGGCATTGATGAACTGCCGTTCGGATTGGCCACTTGGCCCGGTCTTGGCGTCCGCGTTCGGAGGCCGTATGCATTGTTTATAGGTGGAGAATATATAAGTGATCAAAGCAGGAACCTGAGGAAGGGTTGGACACAGGTGGAACTAACAAGTCTGAACAGTCGAACAGGTCGCCTCGTATTGCGGTTTGTTTTCAGAAAATGGTTGGTGTAGCTATGTGTAGCTACTTTGGATCAAGCGGTTCACTGATTGGTACTTTGCGGTGGGATATGTTGAGATGTTTCGTTGCAGCTACTTTGAGCCTGCAAAGTTGGATGATCGCCTGCAAAACCCTGCCATCCTTGTAAGAGAACTGCCACTTCGACTCTACCCAAGTCTTGGCACGCAGCCAGTTCTTTTGCAGGGATTCTTGGTGGGGTGCGGGCGCTTGCCACGTGGGAAATTTGCTGCTTGATCTCCTGGCACTTGCATCAACTTGGGTATGTGATTCATGAACTGTCACCTGCGTCGACTTGTTGCTGGACCTTTGAACACCCCAAAATCAAGACTCAAACTAACACAATCTTTAAAGAAATGAACACAAACATCCACTGCCACTGCTGTACTTGAGGCCAACAAGGGTAGGAGGGTGCCAGTCGACTCAGATTGACTCCCCGTCCGCTCGTCGTGTGACCAAACTCCAGTTCTAGGCGGTGGGCGGACTTCAACAACACCCAGCCCAGCATGCGCCAGGCTGAGTGGAATGGAAGAAAGCGTGGGAGGCATTTGTGTCCGAGATGCCATTCCAACTCACCTGGAGAAACCGGCAACATCTCACAACTAGGAAGGGGGATCAGGCTCGAAAGCCATTTTCATGTTTGTGGACCACCGGAGGGGTATTATTCATCATTTTAGAGCTAGTGCTTTTCTATGGCACTGAGCTCCGTTCGATTGGAGGAGGGGAACGTCGGACATTTGCGGAACTCGCCCTGCAGTAGCTCCGAAGAGACCCAGGTGGCCCAAGTGCAAGTAATTAGTATACAATATTATTATGTTTGTGCAGGAATATGGCACTGTTTGGCGGTGGTCCATCCGGATGAAGGACAGAATGTTTTTTTGTGATTTGTTCCTCGGGGCAAGCGAGTGGTTGTCGTCAATGTGTTAGCAGCACCGCACCAGAATATAGCGGCATAAAATAGCAGCGGCAGCGGTAACGGCCGCAGCAGAAATAGCAGTAGCAGTGTTGGTCGTTATTGGTTCTTGAAGTGGTTCTTGATTGATTTGGCTGTTAAGAAAATCCGTGCATTTGAGTCCTGAGTTGCTGTTTCCGGAGTCCATCCCCACGGTTCTTGCCTCATCCATCCATAATCCATCCCTTCCGTTTCAGCTGACACAGCTGCATTCTCCGCAGGCGTTGAAGCCACCCATCCGGATCTTAGAGGTCACTTGCCCCTTGAGGCGAGACCGGTACCGAGACCGAAAGGCAACCGGAAGGATCGATGGCTTTTGGAGGCAAGTGCTCTCTCTCTCTCTCTCTCCATTTATCTATCTACCTATCTACCTAGCTAGCTATCTATCTAATCTAATCTACTGTACTCTAATCTAAGCTAAGCTAAGCTAATCTATTCTATCCTATCATATCCTATCCTATCCTATCTATCTACTTATATTATATGAGAATAATGCGCCAGAGACTGGTCAGCTCGAGACAACATGCGACACCTGGATTGCAAGACCCACACCTGTGGATATGAGCCCGACTTTTTGATCTGAAAGATATTATCCATAAAGGAGAGACAGGATCACTGTCAGGATGCATCAGGATACGTTTCTTTTTTTTCAGTGGACTTTGAAGGTCGTCGTGAACCTTTGAGGGATAGCCTCCCATCCGGTGAAAAGCCTCCCCCCAAAAAAGTGTTTTGTCAATTTTTGTCATTTGCTTTGCTGGGATCTCTTGGGGCTGCTATGAACAGTTGGAACCGAGCTCCGGATCCAAGAATCTCCTCATCCAAACTCACGCTGGAGCCTAGAGGCTACAGGCTCCAGCGAAGACTAAGCACATGACAGAGATCAGGAGGGGAAAGCAGTCCACTATTTCGGCGCGTCTAACCTCCAGTCTGGCGCTTGTCCTCATGCACGCTGGGCTGTTTGTGACACTCGCCAGGCCGAAGGGCTTCCTATTGCCCGGCCCCATCATTGGGTGACTTGTTGCGGTGGTCGGATGTCGGATCGCTTGGGGCTGGGCGATCGGATGTCCGGTCACCACTCTGAGACCGAGATCGGACACCACCCCTTCCAGCAAGAACTTCCCTACCAGGAGAAGCAGAGGACCAATTCGGGGCTTACATGGCTGAGGAGATCTTCAAGGTGTTTCACCACACCTTGAGCGCATATACATGGAGAATAGACTTAGGCGATCTTAAGTGCATCTACCAGCACTCTCCAACAGTATTTGATAATATTTATCCTGGTGACAACAGTACCCAGAAACCACCTGGTAGGGTTCCCAACAGCCTCGAAGGTCCGTGTTTTCATTTTGCTGATGTTTGGTCTTTGCGTCATTGAACCATGACCCGCCTCTTTGGCTCAGCCCCGGTGGCTGTCCCAAAAAAAACACCGGCGGCGCCGTGTCGCGCGTTGGTCACGTTGCTCGGGACGTTTTGATCGCTGATGGCTTCGGAGTTGGTGCGGCAACTGGGCAGTCGCTGGACTGCAGGTGAGAAGGGTGAGGTAGTCGCTTCGGAACGCAGAAAAACGATCGCTTCGGAACGCAGGAATGTGATCGCTTCGGAACGCGTGTCATCGCTAGTAGGTTAGAGGCCATCGCTACTACTATGGAGGCCATCGCTAGTAGGTTGGAGGCCACAGTAACCACTAGCACGATTTCCTGAGTAACCACCAAAAAAACAAAAGCTGGTGTGTTGTTGTCCAAAGTTATCTCTCAGAAATAGGCGTTTGTCAACCCTTCCATGTTTTTGGGTTGTTTTGTGTTCCAAAGTGACACATCTTTTGTGTTCCAAAGTGAACTAAAGACCTGTGTTCCAAATTCCAAAGTGAACTAACACTTGTGTTCCAAAGTGACTCTCCGACCGGTGAGACGGGGGGGCATCCGACTGCATCTATGACAGGCGGAACTTGCATCATGAAGGTCATGCTTGAGAAAGGCTGAATGTTGTCAATTCATTGCAAATCTGTGCTAACCCGGTTGAACTAATTGTAATTAGATTAGATCATTTAGGCTACAATGCATGATATGGTAGTTTGCACATGGGAAACAATCGAGGACGCCACAATTTGAAGGTCAATGTCAATCGTGAGATGTGTAAATAAGATACTCTAAACTTGTCTCGGAAGCAGAAGTGGATGTTGACAAAGTGTGTGTGTGTGTGTGTCCACCCCTGGGCAAAGGGATCTCCACCGCCACCTTTTCCACGCTTTTCCACTAACTTTTTCAACCAGCAGGGGCACACGGCATCCATGACCTACCGTGTGCAACGAAGCTGCGGTCATGGATGGGAAGGGAAGGCTGATCACCTTCCTGTACCTGCTCCCAACACACTGACTCCAATGGTCCACCCTGCCGCTGTTCGTTGGTTCAATGGTTCTTCATGCTACCGCCCCCAAACCCACCGCAGCCTTACAGCCGACTTGCAGCCGCGCTGAGTGTCCGATCGTCTTTTCGAGTGCCACTGCAAACAAGGTTAAAC